AGCCAATCCCTGGCTGCCACAGACGTTTAATGGAACCCTTGAGACCTTTTTGGGTCATGTGATGGAGTTCTTCTTCTCATGCGATTAAGATTAGAAGGGAACAGGGCATTTCATCATCCCCATTGACCGAAGAGTTCTCAATCCACTCCTTACCACACCATGAGAAAGAAACATCAGTGTCAGTTAGAGGAACTTTGTTTAATCTTAAAAGTAGCTTCATTTTTATGGAAAGGGAATGCCCTTCAGGAAGATGTTCAATACGTTATAAAAATCAAAATTAATAGATTAATAGATTAATTATTAATTACTAGATTAATATCTGTTACTTTAAATCTTATGATGATCTTTTTGTTTAGCGGGTGGAATATTTTAAACTAATGTTCCTGTTTCTCTCTACTGTCACCGGCTGATCTGACCAGGGGAACTAGGCTCCAGTAGTTCAACAGGTTTTATCAAATGCCCATTGTGATTGAAACATCATCCCCTCAGAACGGCACCGGAGTCCCCCCTCTGTTTACTGTGGGGCCGTCTCTTCATGGCTTGTCTTGCACATTTGGTTTAATGAGATGACAGCAGAGCGCGGTGGTGTGTGCGTACAGCTGAAGCTGCTCCTGAGGCTGAGGCAGAAGATTGCTCTAGGCCAGGAGTTTATCATTAGCCTGGGCAGCAGAGGGGCACCTCATTATAAAGTAAAAATAAAAGCCATCTGAAGATCCAGTTTTAATAACCACAGGTGTTTCCACTAATATAAACAAACAATGGTAATTCTCATGAGTAAGGAAGGTTTGGAGTGAATTTTTTAACACAATACAGTTTGGTTATGTTTCCCCCTCTAGTTCCTCCCAGATCTTCCCCACTTTGCTACTCAGTCAATTTCAACATACACACACACACACACACACACACACACACACACACACACACACGAAAGCCAAAACACTTAAAAAACTTACAAGACAAAAACCAAAACAAACAAAAACCCCAAACGAAACAAATGCCCACAGAAATAATATGGAGTTCATTTTGTGTTGGCCAACTGTTCCTGGGCCTGGGGCCTGTCCTGGAGTGTGCCTGCTACACCAGTGACACTCCATTGGAGAAGACTGATTTTCCCGTTATCGGCAGGTATCGATTGCAAATAGCTTCTTGGTGAAGGGTGGGACCCTGTGTCTACCTCCCCCTCTCAGTCCTGGGCCCCCATCTGGTTTGGACCTGGGCAGGACTTGTGCCTGCTATTGGGGGCAAGTTGGTTTTTGTTTTGTTTTTGCTTTTGACAGTTTCACTGATGTATAAAGTCCAGTAGTTCAATAGGTTTTATCAAATGCTCATTGTGATTTAGAACATCTCTATTTATTGGGGTATATTTTAATTATAGGTGTGAATTTCTTCAAAGTAAGAAATCCTCAGAGGAAATTGCCCAGTATATTAAAAGCTACGAGGGATTTGTCCATGTAACGGTAATTCACAACAGCAAACTCTTGACAATAGTGTGTGTTCATTACCTAGTAATATCTGAATCCTCAGGGTGAGGATTGTTATTTTCCATGGATCCATTCTCCCGCCTCTCCTCTGCAGAGTGGAGACACAACAATCTTGTGGTCTTGCTCAGCTGGAACCAGTTGCTAAGCTGGGCCCATGTGAGGTGGTTTTTCAGGCTGCCTTTGGGTGGCTTCCACTGCCTCCTCATCTTCCCTCTGACTGAGGCCACTGCCCTGGCTTCCTGCTGCCTCCCTCTGGATGCCTGACTCAGTCTTCTGTCCTAGTTCCTGGTGACAGCAGGGCCCTCAGAGCTGGCTCCTGCCCCTGGCTGTCTAGGCTCTAAAGCAGTAAGGACTTCCTAGTGGCAAGAGGTGGGAAACTTAGCCCAAACAGAAGCCAAGGGGGGATGTCATGGCTGACTGACTCAGAAGCAGCGTCTGCACAGAGCACAGACTGAAAGTCTGGGTGCAGTTTTCTCGGAGGGAGAGTTGCTCAATCAGAAAGGTCCTTCTGAGGTGAGCTTCCTTCCTGTGGCTCAGTTCCTCATGAGTCAAAAAGCATCTGTGTGTGACTGCAGTTCTGTGGCTGAGCTGCGTGTCCCCTAAGAGTGACCCTGAGAAAATTCCCATTTTGCAACATCGATAGGAATCAACCCAAAACTAAAGGACAGAATTGTGAACAATTCTGCTGCTCTAAGGAAACTTGGCTTTAGTGGGGGAAGTCCTTCACTTGCAGCTCACAGAGAGATGTGTATTTTATAAATCAGTCAGTCACCTGAATTTCTTTCCCTCAGGGAGAACATTTTGTGAATTCCTGGGTCAGAAGAGAATTACCTATGGTGTCAGGTAAAACCTCAGGCACATTCCAAATGCTTTGGTTCTTTTTCTTTTTCTCTTTTTCTTTTCCTTTCTTTCTTTTTCTTTCTTTCTTTTTTTTGGTGCACTCTCATTTTTTTAGCCTTCTCATTTTTCTTCTTTTAAATATTTTTAAATGTGATTTATGCTTTTATGGAATGACTCAG